GAAATTTAGTGGTAACAATAAATTTTGGGAGATTTTTTTTACCATGGAGGGTTATTTAGGCGGAAGTGCATTTCCATCTTTTCGGAATAAATTTAACACAGTTAAGTAAATTCATATCGCAAACAATTTAGGATATTTTTTACTCTATTTTAAAACTTAAGGTATGTAAATGTTTTTTTTTTTTTTTTGGGAAACAATAAAGTATTTAAGTGCAATTAGCCTTTTTGATATATATATTAGTAAGTTTTCATTTTGTCGTGCGGATATACCCCTCGTAAACTTATTATTGCTTAGAGAAACCACTTGAATGATATTTTTCCCCGTGCTTTTACCGTTAGGGGGCCCATTTATTAAAAAAAAATTCATTTTCCTCTGTCGGTAAAAGAATAAAAAGTTAACTTTCACTCATAGGATCTATTAGCAAAAATAAAACTAGAAGAATAATAAATTTTAAATAGTATTATTACAGGGGATCTATCCGCAATAACCCTATGAAAATTTATATGTGAAGTAATAATATTTTATGCAGAAGAGAGAGAAAATGGAGAGCATAAGTATATGTACTGATCTTTTTATATAGTATCAAGGATCTACAATTTTGTTTATTTATTTTGTTGTTGTTGTTGTGCGCGCGCCTGCATGAAGCAGTAAATTAATTTTAGGGGGAGGAAAGAGAAGAGCGTATAAAAGCGATATTTTTCCTACAATTAAGTACCATGTATTTATGAAACCACGCATCGATTGGATACGTCACGTGCAAGAGCTATACTCACTAGGCATTACGTCAAAGACCGACTTAATTAAAGAAGTAATTAAATTAATCTTCCATTGATGAGTGAAGGCTTAGAACGTAGAAGTAGTACAATAACATCAAAACCCTAGAAAAACCCCTAGGGCTGTAGCACGCACAAACAGACGCACGTAGGGTACAGGCTTATTCACGAGCTGTGCTTAATTTTTTCTCAGCCCGTTGACCAACAATTAACACGAACAACAAATTAAGCAAATTTAACCAACCCCTTACTTAATTAATTTTTAACTAAATAGCTAAGCGCACTGGAAACCGGGGGGCACACCCACGCCACAGTAGTTCAGCACGAGGCTGAGGGTAAGCGGGACGTTAAGGTTGATACCAAGAACATTAGCCCTGATGGCGGTGCAGAGGCAGACCGCTGCCCTCGAAGGTCCACACAGATTCCCAGGCCCAGGGAGCAGCAAGGTAGCCGCGGCGGCGTGCCAGATGTGATGTTGATGAGGCCGAGCACATCGGCGCAGACGCCAAGCTTGAGGGCGTCAGCGGGCGTTTCCGCTTGCAGGTGGGCTTGGGCCTGGCTGCGGGACGTTCGGGCCGGGCAGAGGGACGTTCGTCGGGGCCTGGCTGCGGGACTGTTCGGGCCGGGCCGGGGCGCGGGAAGTTGGGGCCGGGGCGCGGGACGTTTGGTTCGGCCCGGGGCGCGGGGTCGCCGGGGCCTGGCCCGGGCAAGTGTTGCAGGAGTTGGCAATATTGACAAAGAGGAGGAGGTTGAGGGTGAGGAGGAGAGCAAGAGAGGAGGAGGTCTTTGAGGCCATTATGTTGCCGGCGCCGTAATATCCGATCGATCACTAGCTGCTCAAGTACTAAGGTTTATTAGTAGTTATTGATCGAGTACTGGTGATCGGGTGGTGTTTGAGGAGGAGAGGGGGTGGGATCATGTGGGGTTTTATAGAGGGAGGATCGAACGAGGAGATGCCCTAGTTTTTCGTTACTTCACTCTATCTAGCTAGCTTGATCATTAGCCAATTCTTTGGAATAATGTGGTGGTTGGGCCACGTGGGCTTAAGTGGATTTAGCTGGCAAAAGGCAAGTTAGGGCCAGGGAAGGGTTTTGGAGGGTTGTGAATGGGTGTGGGGGGGTCGAGGTTAATTGGAGGCCTCTGCTCTGCTTGATCTGCTGCTTACGGAAACTATCTAGCTAGCATCTTTTCGATGTGATACTTTTTGCCCTAGCTAGTGTTGGTGGTAAATAGTATAAGAGGAACCATCAGGAATGTTTAGCTCTGTAGATCGGCATACAAGAGTGATCATGGAATGCCTATTATACATGCATTTGTCCCTATATTCATAGTTTTACGTACTTCTATAATTATTATACGATTTTTCTAACAG